CTTTCTCTTTTGTAATATAAATGCCACGATGTAATATTAAAATGACGTGAAAAATCCATTTGGGCAATTAAAAAAAAGTAAAATGCGCTGGATATTCTGAGGTGGCCAACTAACGCCCATAAGAGCATATTTGTACCAATAATTGGACGACGAGGGTATAAATGGACCAAACTTTAAATGGGGGCATATTTAAACCTTTTCGAAAAATTTAGGGGCATATTTGACCCTTTTCCCATTTTTTTTAACATAATAATATCTCTCTCTTTCTGTTTTAAGACCATAGGATCCTGCCACCATTTCTTTTTAATAAAAATTTTTCTTCCTTTCTGTTTGTTTTAATTTTCTTATTATTGTACTTAATTTTTCAGATGTAGAATTTACCCTTTATATTTTGTTGGAAAATAATGGACATCACCATCAGAGTTTTTTTTCTTTTTTTTGGGCAAGCAAATGGAGATCATCATCTACATTTTTTTACCAAAAAAATAGAAACCATTATCTATATTTTTTTTATCGAAAAAATAAAGATTATTATTCAAATATTTTTCTATATTGAGAGATAACAAGGATGTGCAAGGGTAACTGTCAGGGAAAAAGAGGAAAGGAGAGGTGGGGTGGACTGCCGTGGGGGGGGGGGGGGTTGAGGCTGTTTTAATGTTTTTTTAAATAGAAAATTCTATTTTTTTTAGATTTAGATTTGTTTTATGTATAAAATTTATTTTTATAATTATTTTAAATTAAAATGTATTTGTCCTTATCTGATTTGTTATATTACCACATCATAAGTGTGAGAATAACACACATTTTCTGTTTTGATTAGGTGTCAAATAAATTGTGCGATAGATATTTATTTTTTAAAATTAAAGTGTCTAATAAAAAAAAGAGTTCATTAAGATATTTAAAAAAATATGCGAAACACTTAAGAGATCGTCGATGACTTAAGTCTTTATTTATAATTTTTAGGATTTTAATTATCAAAAGGTCTTTGATTTGCTGCCCCCCAAAAAAAGTTTTTTTGATTGATTTGGTTTAAGTCTATTATTTAACCTATAATTCTCACTACAATTTTTTTCCCCCAAATTTCCACCCTTTTTTCATATATCTTGTGGACAATCTTAACAGATATTAATGACTTGTATGAGTCCATCATAAGTCAAGAGACTAGGTCCTTTGATAATAATAAAAATATTGAAGAACAAACAACTTATAGTAATGAAAAAAATATGTTTACGAAGAAACTTTCTTGCTAAAGGGAGAAAAAGAATAACTACATGTCATACGGAATTTCTTATCAACTTCCACAGACTTCAAACAATTCGTAAATACAGACTGATCAAATTCTTACGTAACTCTTAATTCAATCAACCTTGTAACAACTCTATTACAAGACGCAAAAGTATTACCTCTACTGCCCACAACACCTACTATCTCTAGCTAATTTAGACTTTCCACACAATTCAACGCGAATAACTCTAGCAATAAACTCAATGATACTCACAATATTACTAGAATGATTTATAATCCTTTATAGCATATGAATAGATCTTACAATGTTAGGGCATGAAACACAACTTACAAACAAACAACATGAGAGTTTTACCAATAACTCCATCATATCCATTAATATTCGTATGATTTTGTTCTCGCTAAAGATAAGTTTTTGCTTTTTTAAAATCGTGGTATTCAAACATTAGGTTATTTCTTGTTAATTGTCTCGATTATGGAATGGACAAAAATAATCTAGTAGTTTCCCATTGACTAAGAGCTTGTTTGGCTCAGCTTAAAAGCTGGTTTTTGACTTATTTAGCTGTTTGACAATACTCAAAATAACTTATTTAAAGTTAAAAAAAAATTATTTTAAGCCAAAAGTTAAAAGCTGGGGTAGGGGTGCTTTTTTATTTTTAGCTTATAAGCTGTTTTAAGTTGACCACATTTTTATCTTTTTGCCCTTAATATTTTTATACAATCTCCAAATTACCCACATAAGCCTAACATCTCTTTCTTCTATTTTTTCCTTTTCACGTTTGGCATAACAACTTCAGCACTTTTATCCAAACACATAACTGTTTATTTTAAAAATAAGTTTCAACACTTTCAAAAATACTTTTTTAAAGCTACTTTTATTAAGCTCATCCAAACGGCCCTAACAGCTTTTACGTCTAAGCTGAGGTGTCTACCTATCAAAGCTAGCATAGTAAATTTACAACTATTGTCCATTGACTTGTCTTAGACAATAGCCACTCAAAGGATCAGGTCCCTCTACTTGATCCCTTGATTTGTTAGATCATCAAAAAAGGGAAATAAAAGACGAGAGAATTCTGAAAGCGCAGATGCAGGATCCACACAAAAATACATTAGAATATAGTATATATATTTCTGCATGAAAAGTTGAAGTATAACTTACTTCTTTTTTAGTCAATTAAAAAAAATTGATATATTTCCATACCTAGTGGCAAATTAAACTTAAAATACAAAATCTATTACTAATAAAAAAAAACTATAACCAAACAAACATCTATTATTTAATTTTAATCATAATTTTTTTTATATATCTTTATTTTTTAAACTCAGTATAAAATCAATCTACTACATGAGTACGATATTCAACTATATATATAAAAGTGGAAAAGGACAAAAGAGTATCATTCTATATATCGCTCCGACATAGTTTGGCTAATGGCACATTGACAAATTAAGTAGGAGAGAGTTGATCATCATTATGTGTATGTTTATTTTCAACTTTAATATTTATCACAACCACAATGTATTATAATAATTAGTGGATTTAATTAATAAAAACAACTTAACACACCACTAAAATAAGTCTTATATTTAGCAAGAAGCACTGAGAATTAATTCTGTTATGAGGTCATTCATCCTTAATGATGTTTTTTCTCTTTTTCCTAAAATTCAATTTTCTAAATCATTATCCTTTGGAACAATTAAATTGACGACCCAACCACTTCCATTCTTTTTTAATCTAGCTATTTTATATTCTGAATTTAAACGTAAAATCTCATGATTTTTAATTTATTAAATTATATTTTTGGATGATGATTTTACTTACGTGATACATATTTTTTCTTGTTGATATATTTAAAAAGAGTTATATATTTTTTTTTTATATTTAAAAATAATTTAAGGTGAAACTAATAGTCTAGAAGACTAATTGATTCTACTAGTTGTTGTAGTTGGTTAGTTGTTGACTTCTTGTTTATTGATTTTACTATGTACCATCCCTAATTAGAATAAAGTAACTTAATAAGCCTTTGTAAAATTCATACACATACATAACATAATGGTGACGTTTTTTATTATTTCAGATTAATTTCATTTTTTGTTATATGACGTATAATATGACGAGACAATCTAAAGAAGAAGAAAAAGAACATGAGGAAATTAATTAACATATTTTGGAGTAATTTATTAATTATATTTATCATTTTCAATACGAGGTTTGCATAACAAGCAATGAATTATCATCACAAATGCAACAAACTTGTGGTGTTCATCAACAACAACAACAACAACCAACTATTAGGTAACTAATTTTACATTTTCTAATTAATTAAGATATTGATATTAGGAGTAGCAACTTAAACCAAAAAATTAAAAATAGCAATACTATTTAAGGTTCAGGGTTCAGAACTCCAAACGTATAGAGAATTGAATTGAAAATAACAATCCTATTTAGGGTTCAGGGTTTAGTATTCAAAACTCGAGACGTAGAGAGGATTGGATTACAAATAGCAATACTATTTACTATTTAGGGTTTGAGATTCAGAATTCGAGACATATAGACTATTGGAAAATCATTCCCTAAGATTACACCTTTTACATGATGTTCACTATATAAATATCTTCTCGTGTATGGTGTATGCAAATATCTTCACATAAAAATGATATTATCATGTAGTGACTAAAGTCTATGCAAAGAAAAAGAGTCGCTACTAAGGGTGCATTTGGTATGGAAAAAATATTTTTCAATTTTTGCATGTTTGGTCGTCTTAAATATTTTTCAAAATAACGCGTTTCTCTCAAATTTAAGAAAAATGATTTCCTTTCAAAAATAGAGGAAAATATTTTTCAAAACTTCACTATATCATTTAATTTTTTTTTCTTGTCCTACCCATACCTCGTACCCGACCCTCTCCATTAAAACAACAAAAATAAATTTTCTTATTTTTTAAATTTCGAATATATTTTTGTGCTTACCACCAAACTAACCTCGCCCACCCTCAAACAAAAAAATAAATAAATATTTAAAAATTATTTATGAAAAATGTTTCAAATTTTAATTATTTATGAAAAAAAAAGTTTAAAATTTCATGATGCAGATACAAATAATCAGGGTCATCAACAGGTGCTTCGTTGATACCATTTGCAGATCCAGAGTTTGTTGGTGAGCCTCCTTTCTTCCGGAGGATTCCACTTTTATTTGTAGTCTTATTAAGATGTCGTAGATCTTGTCTCGACGTTTATCATAGTTATTAGAGGTTGAGTTATCTATTTTGAGACATTAAGTTAAATCCTTAATTTTAAGTTCATATAATTTTAAGTAAGTTTTCTGTTGAGCATTTAGCCAAGAACAAGGGTTCACTTGGGAACCAACAATGAATCTTTAGTGTCAGTTACATTCAGGGTGTAGGCTCGAAGCGTGACAATAATACAGTTGAGTAGAGTGGGATTTGAGTTATTCTGGATGATTGCATTCCAAAATAACTTTACATTAGAAGAGTCAAAAATAATATGCACTCTCGCAGAATGTGCAAACAGGAGATATACTCATGCTAATAAGGTTAAATACTGGTTAGTAGGTAATCTGTTGTGGTGGAGGAGCCATATGAAGAACTTAATCTTATTTGGAGCCTTAATTTTCCAAATCCAATTGAAGTTATTGTTACTTGTGAATAGAGCTATCCTCTTTGGAGTCTAAGAACATGTAAGCAGATCATATTGTTGTGAATAGACCATCCAAAGATCATCAATGGAGCTCGAGCTAGGGACATACGTATTTTGTATAGAAAAAAAATGAAGGATTGGGGGTGTAAGTAGAAGGATAATCTATTAAAATTTTCAAACCCTATTGATGAAAAGGTCTTTGATCTTAATATTTTCCTCGTCGCGATTCAGAGGATCTTGAATACAACTTCTAATGTTGTTATGAAAAGGTATCCAAATATCATGCCAAGCTTCTAATGTTGTGTATTGAAAAACTGCAACAAGCTTAAGAACTTCCATTATCCTTGCCGAGGAATAGAACAGAACATTGTTTCAATGTCTCCTCCGGGCTAGTAACTGGAAAAAGAGAAAACGAAACAAATAGCAGGTAACGTGATTCCTCAAGCAATTATGCAAGAGAATAACGATTCAAACATTAAAAGAATGAAGTTTTAGTCGGACCTGTGTGACCAACAGTTCTCTCAGACTCATAGATCTCATGGTCATTTCCTCCCTATTCAAGTAAAAAGCGGGACTCTTATATCAGCCCGGACATGAAAAGAAAGATTCAAGCATGTCAGTAACTAAAAGATTTACCTTGTATGTTTTGTCTCCAAAAAAGTGAATTTCGTTAAATTCTTCAAGGTATCTCAAACAATAAGTCTTGTCCCAGCCTTGCGGAAAAACCTATCAATGACCAAGATCCCCAAAACATTTGTCATATACTTAAAACGTTCAGCGGTCAATGAGCACAAGAAAAAGGCTTAAAGATGCTCACATCGAAACTAATTTGGCCTCCAATGGAGAAGGTGAGATTAAAATGTGCAAACTTTTCTCTGAGCACTGATACCATTGTTTCCCGTATCTTTTGTGCCTGATTATAGTTTCAATTGTCTTTAAATCACAGAGAAAAAGAATCTATTACTGCAAAACATATATGCAATACTAGAGCAGTTATCTATACCTTATCATACTTCTCAAATTCATCCCTTTCTTCCTGACTACAGTTTCTCCCAATAGGCGACACATTTAGCATGCCACTTCTGAACTCAATAAATGTTCCTCTGAAAAGAAGAATGATTAAGAAGTTTGCCACAACAAAGCAGATGATTCAACCTTTGATCTATGTTTGCTTGGATCCTTCAAAAATGTTGTTGGGTGTCTATAAGGTCCTCCAAAAAACAATTTTTGGAGGATCTGGCAGACTGGCATGTGTGCGCGATATTTTTAGAGGATCCAAGCAACACAGACTTCGATATGCTCACCTCTTTATTGGAATATCCAAGTCAGCAATGTAATGGAGGGTAAAGTTAATAAATTCCTGCATATCATTTGCATCCCATCATGATATTTCTTGACCATCTATAAACATGAATTATCACCCAATTGTACGCAACAAACAGACACAATCAACTCTTAATGGGATGTGTAAAAACTTGATTTTCAGTTTTTTGTTAACTATTATAAACATTGCTTTGAAAACTTATGAAATACAACGTCAAAACAGTTTTCAACAAAGTACAAATTACATAGTAATCTCTCTCTTTTGCTCTTAAGCAATTTTTTCTTCATCTTATAGATAAAGGTATACACACAAAGACTAATTTATCACTTCAACAAAATTATTTTTCTTAAGCTAAAACAACAAATAATTAGAAGGATCACTAAGCCTTTATCAAATTGCACTTGGTTGGGTATGCTCCCCTCTGTACATTACAACAAAAATAAAACATTTTCTCGTTAAATAAGAAAAAAGTATTGACTAACCTTGAGCTTCTCGTCTCCAAGATGTGACTTCAAGCTCTGCACCCACACCGGGAGTCATGTCATTTCAAAACAAATCACCCTGCTAACTAACAACTAAGGAGAACGAAAGAAGCGATGCACATTGGAGATGGGTAGAAAGAAAATTTCTTCCAGTTGTTTGGTAGTTCCAGTTTTCATGAGACTTTATCTAGTTTTAACTTGGTACAAAGTGCCTTAAGAAGTGGCAACAAGGATGTTGTTTTGAGTTGATAAAGATAGTATCCGAGATTTTGTTGTCACAGAATGAATATGCACTCACAAGTAATATTGTACAGATACGAAATCAAATTCTAGTCATTAGAATTACCTGTTTCCCAATAAGCTTGCCATCTTTATGTGCTACAAGGCCATTTTCAGAGAAAACATAATCATAGTCATTTGTAACTGCATCACAGATATTAGAAAGATCAAAATGTCATCATTCTCAAGAATTTTTTGGATAGGTCAATTAATAGCCACATACTGGGAACCAAGGGACATGCGTAACCACAAAGATTGTTTGAACCTTAGTTGCACAGACTCTTCACTTTTGACTCCGCACTCATCTCTGATTCTTCAAAAATACACTACTTTTGGCGAATCCGACACGCTTTCGTCGGCATTTTTGAAGAGTCCGAGCAACATAGTTTAGCACTAAATTGGGCAGAAAAATGTACATTTCAACAGCTAACATGGAGCTATAACCATAAGACTATGTATGCTTTTCTAGTGGAAAGGTCCTTTTATATTTCAAATCAAAACACAGTTTAGTGCTCTTGGCTAGTGAACTCGTAGCACTTCTACTCTTGCCTAATATGTGCGAGGAATTTCAGATACTGAGATAATAAGTTGATGTAGCACCTTTCATTATCCTAACTCCAAATTTAGTATATATGCTACTTAAGCTAACCTGTATTGCCAAGTTGCTCTGATATCTTTACAAGGTCAGAACCTCCAACAACTCCAACAGTAACAACCTGCAAGTCGACAAAATTGTTAAACCAAAGAATCCTTGAGAGGAAAAGTAATGTATATGTGGAAAAAAGAAATAATGAAAAAATGAGTATGGCAAAAGAATCATTTACCTTTCTAAGTTCCTGCATGAATTTCAACATTTGTGGAGTAGATTCCTGAAATTTTTATGCAAATTTTCCGAAGAACTAAGAAATCAATATCGTTATGGGGGTGATGAAATGTCACTACTGGTAAATTTACTCTACAAATAAGAATCAGAACAATACAAAATCATGACAATATTTTGAAAATAGATGTACAGGCTAGCAAGTCATTCGACGGGGCCTCAATCTCAAACAGGTTGGATTCAGCTACTAAATATACAAATCATCTATATCATTCTACTCTATTCAACCCCATCAAGGATGCAATTGTTCATAAAGTCAAATTAATCTACAATAAAGGTGTTCTCAATATGGATCTGAATTTCTCATGTTCCTTGGCTACAAAAAAATTGAAAAATATTTTCTTTAGGTAAAACAAGTTATAGAATTAGCATTCCACATTGCTTCGATTATATATAAATACTTCTATAATAATATTTCGTTACTTGCATATACCCAACACAGCCCTAGTAACAGAAACAAGGGAAAAATAATCAAACTAAAGCAACAAATACAAGGATGAGCAATCATACTATACCTTTCTGGGTGCTGTAAGAGTTCCATCAACATCAAACAGAGCAATTAAACCAGCTTTTCTTGCAGCCATTTCTGTTTTATCTTTCTATACTGCTCACCAACTCTTCACTGGATTTAACAGCTAAACATTCATAACAAAAAATAAAATTCAATAAAAAAGTTCACAAAGATGAAATGAAACAACTCACATTACAGATTCGCAATATATGACTGTAGTGATTTCTACAACACAATGGGCGGTGGCACTTTGCGTACTGACTAGAAAGTAGTATTCAATAAGACGAGAAAATGAAGTAAAATCAGTTATGCAAAATTTACACCGATTGAAGAAGAAGAGACGTGCAAGTGAGCAATTTTCCACCGCTTTATTGTGCATTCATAGGCTTACCGTAGCAAAAATTGGCTCAGAGAATAGGACGCAGATCTGAGATCAAATTGCTTTCTCGAGTAATTTTTAGTGTGGATATTGGGATTACCGAGTTGAGGTGTTTTTGCTCAAAGAGTGCCACTAGTTTTTTTCTTTTTTAGATCTATATATGTCCTAATATCCGATAATACATAAGTATGTTATTTAATTTTTAAAATTATATTTGTATTCTTCAACTTTGAATGTGTACAAATGGACACTTAAATTTGTATAAAATTAAATAAATAGACATATATATCCTATATGTCATTTTTCGTCCTACGTGGTGTCTTATGTGTATTGTGTCATGTAGGACTGATATGTTTATTTATTTTAAAATTTGATATCTAAAGTGTCTGTTTGTGCATTATGAAAGTTGAAGGTCAAAGTTAAAATTTAAAGTCAAGTTTAGGGTCCAATACATTTATTATGCCTAATATCTATTATGTGGTTTACTTCGACAGGTACCCAATTATATTGTGCCAGCTCATTTTTTTTTTTGACATAATACATATATTGAGCCCTAAATTTGGTTTCAAATTTTAACTTTGACCTCCAACTTTAATAATGCACAGACAGACACTTTAACTATCCAACTTTTAAATAAATAAACACATGAGTCCTACATGTCAAAATACACGTAAGACACCACGCAGGACGGAAAATGACATGTAGGACATGCATGTCTATTTGTTCAATTTTATACAAATTTAAGTGTCTACTTATGCACACCAAAAGTTGAAGGGCATAAATGTGATTCGAAACTAAGTTAAAGAGCATATTTATGTATTATGCCTTTTTTTATCGTAATGATGCTAAATTCTTAGAAATGTTGTGGTAGTAAGTGTTGCTTATTCTTAATTAGATGTTTCATATTTAAGATCTGTTTGGAAAATTATTTTGGTAATTGAATTTAATATAATTGAGTGTAATTATATTGTCTGGTCTATATGGTTGATCATGTAGTTACTTGATCCGAGAATAATTGACAGGGGTAATAACACTCTCTAATTTTTAGATGTTTGAATTGCTAGTAATTACACTGATTTCATTTGCTAGGTGGCTTTCCTAAAGGACCCTAGATCTTTTTGGGTATGAAATTGTCTTTGTTAGGTGTACTTTACTCATAATGTGGGGTTTCTTTTTTATGTGAATTAAGATTTAGTTAGTTTCCGATATGGAATCGGACACGAAAGCCCTCGAATCTTTCTTGAGTTGATGTCACCGTGACATCTACCCCTTGGATCCTGCCTTGTTAGTCATCCATAGAGCTAAAAGGAATTTTGGTAGCCATTTCCATTCCCACACACCGATACTAATCAGGGTGGTTGTTCAGTAAATCCTATCTCTAAGAGAAAGGAGAAATTGCTTGCACGCTTCGTCTAGTAAGAGAAAAGATCTTAGGCCGAACAGATCACCGGCTCCGAAGGCTTGCAATCGTGACTTATTGGAGATAAAAAAAAATTTGTCATTTATTCTTGATTAATTTATACGGTTCACTTTACTTATCCATTATTTTTAAACAGGATATACCATAGCCGCCCAACATTATTATTCTAAAGTGTGTTTTTTGAGCTAATTTCAAATAAAAGACATGATATTATACAATATAACTTGTCTAATGGCATCAAAAGTACTAATTATTTAAATATGAATTATACATTGACAACACATTATAATACATTTAAAAAACTAAAAACTAACGTAATTATACATGATCAATTCAAAATCATCTCTAAACAATAAACAATCTCATATGGAATCTAAAATAAATCCTTTAGAAGGATTATTCATAATACAAAGTAATCGAATTTTTTTAATTTAAGAAATAAAAATCTAGATATAAAGGAAGTTGGATAATTCTTATGAATTTTCATTACCAATAGAGTGCGAATTGAGATTGATTTTTTAAAATCTTGTTTCTTTTTTATAAAAAAAATGGAGTAAAAGAGAAAACCACGGAATGTGAATGTGTTGTAAGTTTTTGAAGGAAATTTGAAAGAAAAACATCCTTTAATTGGCTGAATGGAAAGAGTGAATTTTTTAACAAAAAGATGTGTTGGTGAAAGAGCGTGCTGAACAAGAGATTAATGGAAGCTTATTCTGCCTTCTTTGCAAATTGCAAGAGAGAGAGTGAAAATTTACGTGGCACAAGACACATGAGATATCACTCAGACGTAAATTGTTATGTAGGATGTTATATAGGATATTCATATCTATTTATTCAATATTATATAAGTTTAAATATCTATTTGTGTATATTCAAAATTAAATGACATAATTATAAAATATGACAAAATTAAAAAGATATATTTATGTATTATGCCTTTTTCATAAATTGTCTTTGCTCGGCCTAGACTTTGCATTACCTATAAATATAGATAGATAGATTTCTAACTCGTGGCTTTCTTGAACCATTTGCCCTTTAAAATGAACATATTTACAATATCAACAGTTGTCATCCTAACCTTGGCTTTTCTATCATCATCATATAATATTATTACGAGAAAAGACATAAAGTGATAATTGAAGTTGTCTTAAATTTTTAAAAAGGCTTCTAAATTATGCAAGTCTCATATTACCCCCCCCCCCAAACAATCCTGTTATGATATTATTACATCATTTTTTGTCACCTGGCATGGAGAGTGTATGCACTTTTTTAAAGAGCATGAACAAATTAAAAAAATGAATATAATTTTATTTTTACAAAATTTTTACTATAAATTATATTAATTTTTTTATTTTTCTTATTATTTTAATTTTTTCTCCTTATTATTTTTTTCTTTTTCTTTCTTTCTTCTTCTTCAAAAATTCATTATCATCTTCATTAACTTATCACATTTAATGTCACTTTTTACCACAATTTCATCTCTCTTTTATTCTACTAATAATTTAACTTTCTTCAATTTTAAAATTATATCTACATATTTTAATACATTTCGAACAATGTGATATACTCATTAGATTTCAAGATGATTAGTAGACATTATTTAGTTTTTTATTGTCA